ATGTTTCTTTAACATAGTACATAACCAAGTATTGGGCTGTTTATCTCAATTTTTTTCTATGTTATATAGGTATGTTATGATGTAATACTTATGTGATAATCTTAGTTCCTTGTTTTTGTTTTCCTACCGGTATAAAGTATTACTTCTACAAAAAACCGTTATCATCCTTTGAATATTTCTCCCTAATCATGGTATAATTATATTATATTGGAATGTTTATTGCATCATTTAATTTAATATGAGAATTGCTGACGTATATTTAAGTGTCACCCTTAAGTGGTGACACCATAACAAAACGCCTAATTGATTGAACCGTGTTAACGTTATATATCGGTTTTGAAATTTAAAAGTATCTTCTGACTGCTATTCCCTCCACTCTTAAAAGACTTTAATGGAATTCCAAAAACTGAAGATGCGAGACGTCTATTTGCTCTGCAACAGGAAACCTTAAAAGATGCTCGCTCGCTATCGAGCGTAACAACTTTTCAATAAAAGCAAATTGTGTAATTTAAGAAGACACAAAACCTTTAATAAGACATCAACAGCTCCTAACTGCGTGAAGCGGAGCGGAGAGAAGCGCTTAGACAAAGAATAACAAAAATGTACTCTGTCATTTCCTTCATCAATAATTCTCATGCTGAAAGCAGTTCACTGACTTTTGTTTGCACAAATTAAGAATCCCTTAAACAATCAAAATCAGTTGATTACCACATATGTGCAACGCTGTTACCCCTCTATTGCCTCTATCCGCTAACCAAACGCAAAATCGATTGACGATACACGATAGACGATAAACGATAGACTGCCAGAAAGCAGAAAGCGTAAGTACAAACAAACACACACACACATATATAATCAGTTCGTATGAATTGCCATTACTGCTATCAGTGCTTCTACTATGTTGGCTTTGTTTTTGTTGCTATTGTTCTTCTTCTTGTTATTGTTGTTGTTGCTGTTATTGCTCCCAAATTTTCAAAGACATTTTTATTGGCAACTTACCACGACAATTTTCACCTTTTTCCCAAATGAGTTTCTCACGACACGAAGTTGTAATTCAATGCCGCATACATGATACAACAACAACAAACAACAACATAAAGAAAAAGAAACAAGAAGAAAAAAGTGGTGGGGAAAAAATTAAATGAAAATAAGAATGTCAAACATCTTGTCAATATCAACAGCAAAGCATCTTCTTGCATACAAACAGGTTTACCTACGCCCAATCACGGCAATAATAAAACTTGCCATCATCGTCATCAACGTCGGCAAGGATATTTTTCTGCATTTACCGTTGTCGCTCTTCTCGTTATTCTTGCTACTGTTGCTCTGCTCGTTGATGACTTTCGCATCGAATGCTGTTAAAGCAGTTAAAGCAGTTGAAGCAATCGAAGCAGCGCAAAAGTTAACAGAAGTGGCAGTGTCACAACATATAAGCACGCACGCTATACTCGGTATAATCACTTCGATCGATAGCTTCAATCATGAGTGACATTTTCCGTTTCCACTTCCGTACAAAAATGTTTATGTACTCATTACGCAACAATTCCTTAATTTACACTGAATTTACAATACAAAAAAAAATTAGTATTTATTGGGAAACATACAAACCAAATAAGCAACAAAAACAATGAAAAATTTATAAGAAGAATATGTAACGCGCTGTTAACAGCAACGGAAGCTTTAAGAGTTCGCACTGCCAGCCAGCATTGCAAGGTTGTCTTTCAATTTAAATTAACTGCGCTGCTACTGCTAATACTGTTAGCTGTTGTTAGCTGTTGGCAACATTAGCTGCGCTGTCGACGTCAGCAGGGAACTGCGTAAATATTGCAAATTTGCTTTGCCTCTTAATTGCCGTGCTACTGTTGTTGTTGTTGCTGTTGGCTCATATCCCATGAAAAAAATGCGCTTTCTCACCGCTATTTTTGCTGCTACAATCGTTTTTGTAACAATTTAAAGTTCTTCTACTCGCTGCTGCAGCACGTTCGTATACTCAGTTTGCTTCCTTTTAACAAGGAAAAAACGGAAATCGAAATTCGATACTTTGATTCGTGCCTTCAACGTGTACGTGGGCCTACACAGCGTGGTTCCGTTTCATTAAATGGCGTTGAGTTGCGTTTCCACTTGCTGTTGTTGTTAATGCTTTTGTTGTTGTTGCGATATCGATACAAATGTATGATATGCTGTGTGTCGCGTAATTCTGGAGAGGTTCCCACCTTCCTGTTCGCCGCTGAGCATTGCACACACACACACACACAAGCAGCTTCAGTGTGTCTGTCATTACCACAGGTGTATCACTTACATCTCTGCTTCTCGCCGCACGGCTACGCACTTAAGTCAGTTGTGACGTATTCAGAAATTGGATATGTTTTTGCCATGAAGTATGTGTGTATGTGTAATAAACAAAAAAGGCGGTCTTCCCTTGCTAAAGGATTGACAGGACTGACAGTGATAGTGCAAAGGAAGATACTTTGTATTTTTAAGTTGTTGAGGGGAGTTTAAAATGTGGCTTCCTAATTTAATGAACTGAAACTTCATTTGTGCATACAATGTATCAATTACCAATTTGTACGTCCACGGAATTTCAATGTACTTAGTCCAGATCATAATAGTTGTTTGTGTTGTTGTTGTTTCGCTCTTTAATTTAGCAGACAGCATGTCTCCAATGTGGTTCTTTAGGTCTGAATAGTGTGTGAAATGCTGAAATTTTTCGAATGCGAAAGACGGTTACAACGGTTTAAATGCATCTAAATGGACTCTGGAGCTTAATACATGTATGTGTTGGTGTATATAAATCAGACTATTTATTTATTAAAACGCTAAGCATATTTATTGGTAGTTATATATTGAAAGGTAGTAATGCAAGTAGTGTGGTATCATAACGAGTCATTTTTTGAGCTCAAGTGGGCTTCCACTTCAATTCAAGTTGATTTAATACAAGTAATATATATTTTAGTGACATATATTGTTATTATTTTAAAAAAACTAAAGTTGTGATCCTTCAATAAATGCTGATTAGCGGACTGCGCAGCACCTGACACGACTGAAATGTTAGTGGAATCTATCACTCACCTTTTTATGTCTCCAATCAGGAGAACAGACAAAGCAGGTTCAATGTCCACATGACAGATTCTTCGCTAGCCATAATTCTTCACTAGGTAGAGATTACTAATACTTATTGTGTCCCTATAACTATAACTGGTAGGAATAATATTGGAAACAATAGTGAATATAACTCGTTTTTTCCTTGAAACTTTATGGTCAATATAAAGAATAATAATTTTCTCCGAATGTAAGGTTAAATGTACAACACGAGTCTCTCCGACCTTATGTATTAAAAGGGCGAGATAAGAATACATAATATGCATGCATAAAATTAACAGTGATTATATCACAAGGCAAGGATTTAAATTATTAAGCCCAAAATAATTTATAACATAAAGTAGATTGTAATAGTCAAATACAAAAAAAAAATAACTAGTTAATTATTAATAACTGGTAGCAATATAACTTCATGTCTCTGCAAAGTTAATACGGGTCTGCAGAATGGCGTTGACCAATACCTGTGGCTCCCTCAAAGTGCGATCAAGTTTCTCTAAGCCATTTGATACCGTGCGAGGCTTCAAATTGTTGTATAAACATTATATTATGTTAACGCAACGTATTTTATATTTAACTGCTCTGAAGTACAATACTATAGTTTAGTTATGTGGGCATTCTTGTAATGTTGAGTCTATCTATAAACATTTTTTAATATAAAACCAGTCATTTCTATAAGATTGTAGTTGGCTGGATCTCAATATAATAATAAAAAGTGGTTTTTGGTTCATTTGGGGCCAAAAGATCATTCCAGTCATAAAGATATTATATTCTATCGTTCATTAAACATGTATTAAATATATATAGGAAAGAACAGTAATAGAAATATCTATCGTTAATGTTATAATCTAGTATGCTTTGCATTAGTTTAAGCAATCTTAAGTAAAGAAATGTAAACAACATTTAGTTAAATATAAACTGTCAATCTTGTCGGTTGTATTTACTTCAGTAAGCGACGAAGATAAAAATCTGCAATTATTCAATCGCTTTCACGCTTATTTCGTACCGTTCAATTTTACATACAATCATGCCGGGCGAAAGTGAAATTTATAAGCAATTGCTTAAAGAACAACAAGAGTTCTCAAAAAATTTACTGAAACAACAACGTGAGTGGATGGACTCAATGTTCCAAAAACAAGGTACTGCCGGTGTATCTGAAAGAGATAACAACATTGTTCCAGTATTTCACAAATTTTCGAAAGAACATCAAACCTGGGAATCGTACTTAGAACAACTTAACCAACATTTTTTAGCATATTCAGTTCAGTGCAGTGAAAAACAAAAATCATTTTTCTTGTCTTGGATTGGCACAGAAAATTTTGAGCTGCTAAAAAATCTTTTCGGTAACATGAAAGTACAAGAACAATCTTTCGAAAATTTAACGAAAAAACTAACGGATCATTTCCAGTCGAAACGACATGTGGTCGCTGCACGTTACGATTTTTTCAAAAGGGAAATGAAGCCACATCAATCATACAGAGAGTGGGTAGCAGATCTCCGCGGATTGGCAAGAGAGTGTAACTTTTCGTGCTCAGCCCAGAATTGTTTACACAATTTCGTGGATGATATGATTCGTGACCAAATTATTATACGTACACCTCACGATGCTGTGCGCACGGCTGCGTTCCAAAAGCCCCAGCCAACACTTGCTGATGTTTTGCAGATTGCAGAATTGTACGAAACAACCACTAAAACGGTGGCAACAATTAAAGAACAAACGAGCATTCAAACATTTTTGCTCAAAACTTGGCATCAAACATATAACAACAGCGCCGTTTCATCCAGCCTCAAACGGGTTAGCCGAACGATTCGTCAGATCTTTTAAAACTGCTGTTAAGAAAAACATTGACGATGGATTGTCTCTCAAATTCGCTGTATCAAAATATCTTGCAACATATCGTGCAATGCCGAATGCTGAGGGTAAATCACCTGCAGAACTTTTACATGGAAGGCCTGTTCGTACCTTGTTGAGTCAACTGTTTGAATCGCCTAGAAAGCACCTTGAAGCTTCGAAACGGAAAATGAAATTCAGTCTAAAGCAACCCGTCTTCGCTCGAAACTACGCAAGAGGGGAAAAATGGATAAAAGGAGTTATTGTGAAACAACTTGGTAAAATGGTTTACCGAGTGAACACATCTTTTGGTTACATCAAACGTCATGTTAATCAGCTTAAAACTAGAAGTAGCTCTGACCTCTCTTCACAACCAATTTTTGAATTCGCTCCAAATTTCATCAATGCCACACCGCCTTCATCTAGCCAATCAACATTAATGCCTAGTGAAGAACGTTCTACCGAAGTAGTTCAACTTCGAAAAAGTCGTATTCGGAAGGATGTAATTCGATTTGAATCCGACGATTTCAGGAAAACTTAAACTTTGTCAAAAATTAAGGGCGGAGAAAGTGTTATAATCTAGTATGCTTTGCATTAGTTTAAGCAATCTTAAGTAAAGAAATGTAAACAACATTTAGTTAAATATAAACTGTCAATCTTGTCGGTTGTATTTACTTCAGTTAAAGTGAAACCATTACCATTTTTTGTATGCCTTCTGTAATAATATCTGATGTCATTTACTATATACGACTTCTTTTCATGGTAGTCCCACATATTTCTTTAAAATTAATATGATGATTGGATAGCATTAAATCGTGATTTCTCTGATGGCTACACAGGACTAATTCGAATCAAAATATCAATATGTAAATATAACTACAACCATTCAGCTTATTATATATAGAAAATACTTATATGAAAAAATTAGTGCTTTTAGAAAGTATTCTATTGCTTTATTGCATAAGTTTGTAATAAAGGAAATTGTTACGTTAAAGAGAAACAAAGATACAAAAGTCAGTTGAATTAAAGTTAATGTCTGCTTTAGTTTCAGATTTTCAGATAGATTTATATTTAATATATTAATTTCAGAAAGGCCATGATATGTTCTTCAATTTTAGTACTTTAGCGGTTTTTATAAATATATGCATAGTTTACAATCTTTATATTCTATGTATAAAATTTCATTAACAGTTTAAAAGATATCTTATTTGTAACAATTTTATCTTTTAATGTTCTGTTATTCTCTTTATATATTTTTCTCTCTATCGGCCTATATTTTGAATATAACGCAAATGAAAGAAACTAATTGGATCTCCAAGAACGTTTGTTGAGGCTATATATTTCTTTAAAATTTCTATAGTAAAATTATTCTACAGTTATGACTTAAGAGTACAGTTACTGAACTGTACTGTACATAATTTTGAAGTTTAAGTACATATCTTTCTTAAATTTTGATATCGTTCTATGAAAGTATATATATCTGACAATATTTAATATATATTAAATTATTTATGTACTATTCAACTTATACTTATCTCATGTTGAGCCTTTTCTGAGTTAGTGCATCTGGGCACTTTTACTCTATGATGGCTGGGGGGTTTCTGCAGAATCCCACCCATCTCACTGACTAATTTGAGTATTTCTCATAATCTATACTTACATATATATTAATTGATGGTTTTTTCAATTGCATTAGAAAAATATAAAGCACAGGATATGAAACGCTATATTTTGCAAACATTTTTTTGACATTAATACATATTTTTTTTTATTGAATTAAAAATATAGAACGCAGGATAAGAAAATATGTTTTGCAAACAATTTTTGACGAATTTTGTCATATATTAATTAATATATTTTTAATTATTTAATATTAAATGCTTTATATATTTTATTATAATTTTATTATATTATATGGACTTAAAATTGGACTTAAAATAAAGGGTGAAGGATGTGAAATTATATTTTGCAAGTACTTTCTCGATATATTATATGTCATATATTAATTAATAAATTTATTAACTGAATTATAAATATGGGGCAAACCAGCTATTTTTTAATAAATTCTATATCACATATTAATTAATATATATTTTCTTAATTAAATTAAAAATATATGGCATAAAATTTGAAATTGAATTTTGCAAACATTTTCTGGACGAAGTTAAATCAATTTTATAACTTTCTGTGTTTATCATCCTTAAAACAATAAATGAGAAATCATAATGCTTAGTCCTTATTGCATATTACATATACAAGCAGTTGCTTTAGAGCAATTGTAGACAGTAAATCGCACAGTGACGAATAATTTATAATTCTCAAAGGATCTAATCACATTTAGTGATGGCGTAAACATCTTTATTACCGTTGCACAGTAGGGTTTCATAGAGCAAATAGCTCGGCATAATAGCTGTATTGTAGTATATTTGCATTGTTGTTGTAAATTTTAATGTTATTATTTAGTTCAATTTTCATATTTATGCAGACAGGCAGCGATGACTGAATTTAGGGTGGCTTGGGTGTTCATAAAAAATCGCGTATGCATTGCTAAAATCCTGACTATCAATGAAAGCCTTTCATTGCATTTCAATTCGAATGGCTCGATTTGACTCGTCCCTGCTCGGCACAACTATGAGGCTATCCTTTATGGAAAATGGAATATGGAATATGAAATAGGGAAACACACTTTCACCAAACGAAAGCGAAATAAAAAACTTAAGTTGTAAATGTGTAATTGTTATCTGGCCAGAGGAAGAGGTCACATTGGGTCAGTGCAGCCAGAGTGGTGGCTGAGTCCATTGTAAAATGTAGTTTCTATGTCAAGGCTTAAAAAAGCAGCAAAACAAGAACAACTTCGTTGAAATGAATAAAAAAAAATGAACAAAATTGAATAGAACACAAAAAACACAAAAAAGGACATAACGGCCACTCATGTAAATGTGTAACGAACTTTCGACAAAATTGAACAAGGACGAAAGTAATTTAGCAGCAGTAAATGCAACAGCAGCAGCAGCAGCAGCAGCAGCTGCTGTTGTAGTTGTAGTTGTTGTTGCAGTTGCCATTTGCTGCTCTCACTGTTATTGATGTTGTTGATACCATTTTTGTTGCAGTAGTTGTTGATGTTCTGTTGTTATTGTTATTGTTGTTGTTAGTTTTAGTGTTATTATTGTTGTTTGTAACTATTATTCGTATTCGTATTGCTCATATAACAACTATGAATTATTATTATTGCAGCAATATTCGTTGCTGTTGTTGGTGCTTTTGTATTGCTTTTCAGATACTACATCAGTACAGTTCGTATTTAATTTTTTGTTGTTGTCTTTTATATATTTTTTATGACTGTCTAAAAAATACAGTTAAAGGACTTTTTTGCTCATATTCCATAGCTCTTGCTTTCCTCAGCTCTGCTCGACTTTCCTCTGCTCGGGTCTGCTGATGTATGACAGGACAACATTTTCATTTTTTATGTTTAAATTGCAATGAATCAAGCCAATTGGCGAATGAAATTGCATTGTTCACTTTGAAGTAGTGCTGCAGCAGAACACCAACACCAACAACAACACCAACAACAAAGGACTAAAACTGTTGATTTTTTCAAACATGATTTCATGTCCCTTCATGAATAAATATAAATTAAATTTTCGTATTTAAATCGTTGAATATATTTTTTGGTTAATGGCTTAATTTAAATTGAAAAACTTTCAACAATTATTATTATTGTGTAGTTATTGTAGAAGAAGATATTGCGTCATACACATTCGAAAAAATCCGATAATATTTATGATGAGAATATGCCAGAGTTCATGGATTCTTAACAAATCTCAACTCGAGCTAAGTTAATCTCGTGGAAGTCCGGGCATTAAAGTCTTCAATGAACTAATTAAACAAATAAGCAATAATTCACCTTACTTCATATTATTCATTTGAATTGGACATAATCGAAAAATTACAATTTGTCCGTGAATATTAACAAAACCATTAATCACAAATAAAAGTTTCGCGATTCTGACAGACGGAAGGAAAAGGCAAAACAAATCTGACTGAGCGCGTAAAAGAATCTGAAGTTTGGCTGACAGCGGCGCATTTAAAGCAAAATTAATGATATTTCATAAGATTTGTTTTGGAATAATCAGGAAAAAATGATTTTAAATTAATGCTCAAAGTCCAGAAAGTAATTTGTCAAATTCGCAAATAAATCAATCAATACAATGCGAGTAAATGATTTAATACGAGTACATTCATACAGCGAGTGCGTCGTGTAATTGCGCTTTTTCAATAAATTTAATGAAATTTGCCTGGCTTAAATTGCATTTTTTTTAATCTAATATCAAACAAAAAATTAAAAATAAACAATTGAAAAAAATTCATAGCACAACCGGTGTGGCAATATCCTTCCGCCGCAGCTTGTGACGCCGTTTGGACAGCAACCCTTGCTGCATTCATCCATAAAAATCAACTTCAAAGCACAGCCAACAGATATGCACAGGAGATCAAGTCTAAAATAAATGCAGACTAGAGTGAGGACCAGGTTCCACTTTCACAATTATCAAAAATTAAAATTTTGAAAAGAACGCTAAATGCAGGCATTTTTTGTAAGGCTTGAACAGGAGCGAATTTATTAATTCACAGGATGCACATATATTTATAGTATGGCGAAGTATGATATACATGAATTTAGATGGATAAGGATTTTAACTTTAAATGGATAAGGATTTTCAATTATGAATTGTTAGTTAACAGAACTGGTAGCAGTAAGCACCTTTACTTCTTCTACTAGCTGCGGCTCATTTGATCCATACTGGGGAAACTTGGCAGTCCATATCACTTTTTTTGTAGCAAGTACTTAGAAACTCATCTTTATACTTAAATATATAAGGATTTTGAATTATGTACTGGAATTAATTGGAATTGGAAGCATTTAGCATCATTATTCCTTTCCCTGTATGCAGCTTATTTGATTCATACTGGAAACACTGCTAGTCTATATCAGTTTTATTACAACAGCTACTTAGAAATCCATCTTTAAACTTAAATGGATAAGAATTTTGAATTAGAAATTGTGATTTTATAGAATTGGTAGTAGTTAGCATCTTCGCTCCTTTCACTGAGTGTAGCTCATTTGATCCACACTCGAGAAACTTGGCAGTCTTATTACTTTTATTTCAGTATCACTTTTTGTTTAAAGTATCACTGAATCCGTCACGTGGATTCTTCTAAACGTAGTTAAAAAATCTGTTGGAGTGATCATCTATTTTGATGATAATTGAAATGTTCTAACCTTAACGTATGATGGCTTTAATAGAAAGATCTATAAATACTTTCTGACATACTATACAAGTGAGGACATATCCCATCCATCCCATCTATCCCACCAATTCAATTACTTACACGATATTGGTTGTTGCTTTTATGGAATTGATGGTATCAGGTCTTATCTCTTTGGTTCAGATATTCTGCAGGCGATATTTAGTTATTTGGCTTTTTATAATTTATTTAATATCTGGCAGTCAATATTTTACCCCTACCTGTGCCTGCGTAGAT